TTAAAATAACTAGTAAATTGGAAGCTTTGGTTCGCACTCTTTTATCCGGAGCAATCGGTTGAATTTTGACAAAATTTGCATATTTCACAAGCATCTCAGGTCCTCATGTGGCGCCGAAAGAAAATTCGTTAAAAAAAATTTACAGAAGTGAATTTCTCCAATCTAGTTTCATATTTGTTATATACTTATTAAAAGAAGTCTACAGAAAAATTATGAGCGAAATCCATTTTGTGGGCAAAACTCGATATGAGGATCTTACAGACTGGCTCTTAATTCATAACAGGCAATTTAATCCCTTAAACGCGTCAGGGAAATATTTGACGACAGCCAGGAGCCTGCGACAGTTCAAAAATTTTAGAATCTACACTGGATTTGTATGCAAAACCATGCAAGCGTGACTGGGAGACAAAAGTTGCTTTTCTCATACAAATGCTTCCAACTTTCGGCGGCCGTTACAGTCCCTAATTTTGAGTTACGCGGATGAAAATTCTCAGGTTGCTTAATTTTCATATGCTCTTTCAGCTGGTGCGAACAAAATTTTTCAAAAGGGAACTGTGAAAGATGCTGTCCCTGAAGGGCTACGCACGCGTGTGGTCTATAAATTTTCGTGTGCAAGTTGTAATGCTTGTTATGTTGGTGAAACCACCCGGCACTTCTCAACACGAGTGCGCGAGCACTTACTTTCAGACAGGTCTTCGAACGTTTTTAAACATCTGCAGGGTTCAGAGTTTTGTAGAGCATTCTGCACACCGGATTGCTTCGAGATCCTGGACTCTGCAGCCACTAAGTACCAAGTAAAGCTTAAGGAATCCATGTTTATAAAATGGGAGAAGCCCGATCTCAACCAGCAGGTGAAACACATTAACCTGACTCTCTCCCTGTAAAGAACTAAGCGTCACTCATTTAACTTTGTTTTAGTACGCAATATTGACAACGCAATGTAACGAACTTTGCAAGATCGCCCGCGCTTAAATTCAACGGCCATTTCAAAATATGTAACACTGAAGATGACGGATGTACCGTCGAAACATGTCTGGAAAATTAAAGAAAGTTGTTATGTTTATACGACTATCTATATTTTTGCTGCTATCTAGACCTTTTGGAACTGTTTTCGCGTTTACCGAAAGTTAATCACGTGATCAAGTCATGCAAAGAGCCTATTCAGAATTTTATCGTATTTGGCGCATCGATCTTTCCGTCGTGAAGTTGTTTGTTTCCTTTCTATACTTTTAAACATTCCTTTGGTTATTTCGTCGATCAAATACTATTTGATCTAACAATTGCCTTTCTCAGAGCAAGGAATTGTGAGTATTAAAAAACAGTCGCGGCTGGGTGAGATGAGGGGAGGATGTATTTACTTTATAAAGCATATTGACACCCGTATTCATTACGTCCGTATGTGCTGTTTGGGAAGGATCAACTGACGATACAAGAGATCGTAGAAGATCTTAAACCCTGTGACTAGATGAGAAGAATTAACCGAAGCAGGGTAGTTTTGTACGTTTTCAAATCCGACTAAAACTATGCTTTAATTCTTTTGGCGTGTACTTCTGTACATTCGAGTATTCTAACTGTTCTAATGCCGAATGACTTGGAAAAGTAGTATTTCAAGCTCAAAGCACGTACTTACCTCTCTTACCTTAGCCAGAAAACAAAGCCAGGCTTCCCTGATCGGTTTTGTGGTAGGCCAAGGTAAGTGATGGGCGAGCAAATTGAAATATTCTTTACGATCGACCCAGACGTCGACTGCATGCTATGGACACGCCATGATGCTGTGAAACCTGTCATCCGTAAAAGATCAAGTTTCCTATCGCGTGACTGGTTATTTTTGCCCGCGCAGGGGGAGGGGCTGGAGAAGGGCTTTAGCCCCCTCCCCCGCCCCCCCCCCCCCACTTTTCAATAGTAGGCAATTAATTCGATTAGTGAGATATATATACATTACAAAAAAGTTGGTTCAGTTTAAATCGAATTTATTTAAGAGAAAAAGGGGCACTTTTCGCAGGTATTTATAAAGGCGGGTGGAACGTTAAAAAAGTGTAAAGACCCTGATTTTTAGGCATTTTTCATTTCGTAATCCACGTTTTTGTAAAAAATAGAATTGCAGGAACGGACCACTTATTCATTGCCTGGTTTTTCGGGGGTACTTTTTACAGTGTTAGGTCTTAAAATTCTTTTTGACACTGTTATGTGAATTGAGCATCGTGGGTACTTTACCAATTGCCAGTTATGATTAGTTAGCGAAAAGGTAATAGAATTCTTGTTTTAAAAACACCCCTTTTTTGTCACTGAAAGTATATAAGTTTCACCACACCATGTTAGTTTTAAATGCATTTCCAGCCAGCGCCATTTTAGAGGACTTTGATTTAAAAATTAAATTTTCCGGTGGGCATACCCCCGGACCCCCTAGTTGACTCACGCTAACCTGTTCGAAGTGTATGGGGCGCCAAATGTATTTTTAGTATTTAGATTGGTTATTTGTATATAACCAAAACAATGTTGGTTATTTACAAATAACAACATTACAGTTTTATTATTTCTAGCGTAGACTTTCTCAAAGTCGTTCGCTTGGTTTTCTGGTCTGGTGTGGTAGGACCCGGCACGAACAGCTTTCGCTTTCGCTTTCGCTCGCTCGCGCTACGCGCTCAAAAGCTCGACTTCTGAGCAAGTCTAATAAAACTGTAATGTGGTTATTTGTAAATAACCAACATTGTTTTGGTTATATACAAATAACCACTCTAAATAATAAATATACATTTGGCGCCCCATAGAAGTTTGGCCTTAAAATAATGACCGGGCCTTGATATTGGTCTGCACGCTGGCACGACAACCATGTACCATATAAGGACTTTTAGATGGGAAGACCTTAGATGACTATGACCTCAACCAGGTTGGGTCAAGGGTCTAGGAGTGCTCAGTCTGGCGGGCTCATAAAACCTGTCTCGGACATTCTTTTTTTAAGGATTTTTCCCCTGATCGTCGTAACTGTATGTTGTCACTGCGCATGATCACAGTAAACCTTCTAAAAGCTTGTTCCATGATAAAGGATCCTTTGGATTGTGGTTATTACCACGGTCTGGCCGGGAGGAGCCCGTTTCTCGAGAGTCCCGGTAACTTCCGGGCCCGAGACCAAATTTTAAAATCAAAACCTGTTCAATAGTATCACAGTTCCCAGCTAACAAACCGAATAATTTTGATTTAATTCAGTTTAACTGATAGTTTCACTTTCAAAATGAAACAACCAGCTTTCCTTGACCGAACTGAAAGTTACCGTGACTTTCACGAAACAGGCCCCTTCAGCCGTCTCCTATTTTCTTTGTTGCGCGGGGAAAAGTGACTTCTACGATATGATATGATAAGATGGCCGTCCGTATGGTATCGGTAAGCGCTCGACCGATGTTAGGAAAAAAATAGGGGATTGTGAACAGTCTAACTTCCTCACTTCTTCGCTTCCAACAAAGGAATAAGGAGACGTCTGCACGCAGGCTAATGTTCATGAGGTATTATCCGTCAAACCAACATCCAACATTGAAGAGGGGGGAGGGGGGAACCATACGTGTACCTGTACAACAGCTCTAAGACGTAGAGCGTAATAATATATGAATGTGAGGTACTACAAAATCGTTCAGTCTAGACTCATTTTCTTTTCTTTGTGGTTTACAGTTAACACTTCGGCTTTACAGTAACCTCATCATGTAGATCAGGGAGACTACATTTCTGATCACTTAGCAATACTTTAGTTCCTGTTAATCCATTACTAGATCTAAATATTTTTGATTTTCTGATGACAATCGTTTAGAAGGGCACTCACGGCGCATTAGCCGTAACAGCGTCGTCTCCTCAGATACAAGACCCTGCAAAATTAATAAAAGAAATAGGTTCAGTTACACCTGTAGTGGTGTTCACTTTTCAATGAAGCCTGAATGGAAGCCGAGCTGAGAATATAGGATATACCATGTGAAGTAAGGTTAAGGAATGAAACAATGAATATTAATTATAAAATGAAACAGAAGAAACGGGAAAGAAGGTACCTCAACAAAGAGCACTGATATGGGCTAAGAGAGAAGGAACTTATAAGTCTTTATTATTCATTCAAAATATTTCCCCGATTCTAATTGGCCAAAAGCACAAGCATAATTCACCATAACCAGCTGACTGATGACCAAATTTGGAAGAATTTTGCGTTTAATGAACCGATGACGTCAAAAGTGCAGCCTTCTTGCAGGTAAATGCACCCTCAACCGAGAAGACCTGGGGACGAGGTTGAGTTGTCTTGGTTGTGAAAGCAAAAATGGCGCACATGTCACTCGTTTCAAGAGTAAGAACTACAATTGTAGGTGAAATAATAGCCAAAAAATGATGCAAGAACAACAAGAAGACAAATCAAAGAGCAACATCTGCTTTTTGGAGAATATTTGCGGAGTTGAACAACCCTAAACGTGCACTATCGAAGATGAACTTAACAGCGATGGATCGATGGAGGTAAGCATGTTTAAGCCATGTTTTGAAACTGGGTTGAATGAATAATAAAACAATTATTAAATTCGGCTTTCGTATCATATGAAGAATTATGCAGACCGAGGAGGGTGTTATCAGATAACACCCTCCGAGATCTCCATAACTTTTCGTAAGATACTCAGCCTCATTTATTAATTGTTAAATATATTGCCAAACCGCTGATAATTTCGCTGTTTTGAATTTCGAATTTCACGACTTAAAGTCACGTTACTCGGGACAACACGCAAAACGAGTTACAGTGGCAACAAAGCGATGCAACATTGTTGCGACATTTCTTTCGAGTTCGCACAACACATTACTCCGAAACTATGCCCTAGAAATCGTCGTTGCAAACGTACTGGTTGTCTCGTGTAACATCACCTTTTAATTAGCCTGAGATGAAATTTTAGGACCTTCAGACCAAACTGAGACCAATAGTTCGACAAGGAAATATAATCAGCATATAAACAAAATGTTGAAATTTCTAGTATTATGCGAGTGTATCTGGCTTTCAAGGGTAAACAAATCACGAAAATAAAAAGGAAGTAAAACTGTTTCACGTGTAAAATATGCATGGTGTTGAAGTTACTATTAAAAAAAATGTGCATGTCGATACTTACGCCCCACAGGCAATTGCTCGCTTTCTGCATCAGGGTGGCCTTCTACAAAGTCTGCTTCAACTTCTTGGCAGCTTTTTACACAGATCCGCCATTTCATCACTCAGTTTTGAGCGATCATCGAGGGATCCAACCTTTTTTAATTTGATTTCTCTTTGGGGGGCTCCATCTGGAGTGCCGATATTGCTGTTCTGAAATAGAATAATATTTGTAATTGTTTTCATTATATTAGTATCAACCTCATCATCGTCTGCAGCAGCATTGATTATCCTCATCGTTATCATCATTTATATTATTATGATCATATTCATCATCACACAGACGCGCAATTTGAAATCATTGACAACGATGATGTCTACTGTCTACCCTTTGTGACCGATGGTGAGGCTGAGGTTGATCTTGTTTTGATAAAAACCTCTGCCTTTCTCTTATGGAAATTATGCTGTAATAAAGCTGAAAAAAGCAAGGTCAACCCCACCTGTAATTCCATGTTCTTACCTCGTCACGAAGAGCCGCCAATTCAGCCGGCTTGGGAGCATTCCCAGTTGACTTAATCGCAAAACATGATTGGGCTTTTGGCATACGTATCATCAGTAAGATCTGTAGAAGAAGATCAAGGCCAAACAATTACAGTCCAACCCAGCTTTAAGGACGCCCTCTTAACACGGACACTATACGGACAGTTTTCTATGAACCCCTCTGTGTTCTTATCAACGGGGTTTGGCTGTATTAAACTTAAGTCAACTGTTAAGGGCTAGCTTTGCGAAATTCGT